GATATTTTTTATTTTTTTTAACTAATTAAACTTATAATCTTTAACTTTTAATAGAAAATATTACTTAAATTATTTGTAAAAATATATTACTCATATACACGCCAGACATTGTAAATCAGGTCAAGGGTGAGGGTATTTTAGACATGATGGGACGAGAACCGGAAGTCCGTCCTGTAGTCGTTTTGAATTGATTGAGAAAAAGGATGATTGATAGTCGGACGATATAATTTAAAAATGGAAAATTAGCGATGGAGGTTGGTTCGTAGAAAGGGCATTTCCAATTTATTTGTGGTGGGAGAGAGAGACCAAGATTCGGAGGCCCATCTTTTCTACCGACTGTCCTTTTCTTGATTGTAATCAAAACTCTTTCCCTAATTTTTCTGAAGAAAGAGAGCTTTTAGTTTAAGGTTTCTGATTTTGTGATTTTTTTAACATTTTGTTATTAAAAATATATTATTATTTATTAATTATTTTTTATAAAAAATTTTATATATTAATATATTATTAATTATATAAATTATTAATTAAAATTACTTTAATTATAATAAATTAACACTTTTATAAAATATTATAAAAATAAAAATTATGAAAAAGCAATCCCAATGGCGAACTATGCTCTAGTGACGTTTTTGAATGCTCATCCTGTGGTCTTGCTTGCTACTTTCCTTAGCAACTTTGAAAATCATCCACTCAAATGTACTTTTTTAAAAAGAGGGGAAAATGATTCCCTTGTGATATTGTTATAATACCAATGACCTATTCGTCCAAGTAGAAAGAATGAGATTTTTTTAAAATAAAATATTAAATTTAATTTTTGTGAATAATGAAACAGATATTGAAAGAGTTTTTTTTTTTTTTTAAGATTCAATATGACTTGATTTTAGGTTAATTAGGTTTAATGTGACTTATAAATACTAGAAGATTAATAAAAAAAATGTTATTATGATAAGAAATACTATGTCATAATTAAGAAGAATTTTCAATTTTATTTGATATCTTATACCAATCATAAAGTAGAGAGCATGTTTGGGTTGAAGACGAGATATAAATGATTTTTTTAATTAATAAAATTATAATATTTACAAATAATGTTGGCAAGAGTAAACGCTATGTTAAGCCTTCAAATTTATTACAAATTATTGATTAAACTTTTAAAGTTTTATTAAAGTAAATAATTTCATAAATAAGATTATTTAAGTAATTTAACCCCCTTCTTAATAATAAATAATGTCAATTTACATCTCACTTGCGTGAATAAAATATTGACATGTTATTGCTTATATTATAAATATTGATCTTATCCACACAAAAAAGATATAAACATATGTTGATTTCGTCTTAAGGAGTGTTAAATTACCTAAATTATTTAACTTAATAGCTTATTTACTTTAATAAAAATTTAAAGACTTAATTAAAATTTTGAGATGAGTTTCAAAACTTAATGTGAGATTTTTCCAATAATAAACTCTAAATAACAAAAATATTCGCTCGTTCCCTCTTCTTTCATCTGTTCCCTCAAACCAAACATCTCCAAAGAGATTGAGGCTTGAAAGTTGAAACCTTAAGACTTTATAATTCAAGCTATCATTATGTATGTTTTTATAATTTTGTTGAGTTTAATTTTATATATTTTGTAAATTTAAAAATGTTTGAAGGATAATTTTTTATATAATTTTATATGTCATTTAATGATTAAATTTTTTGACTTTAATACTATATATATTGGTTCATTTAATAACATATACAATATATATAAAAAAAATTATACAAAAAAATTATCCACACATTATTATCCTTATAAATCTAATTTGGTGATGACTAATACCGTTAAGTGTGATACGAATTTTAACTTGCGAAAGAATAATATAAGTTTGGAAAAGCTGCTTGTCATTTGGGATTAGATTACAATGGAAGATGCAAAGTTTCTTTTAGAATCGATTCCTTCCCAATCTTTGGCATCTGTCTGCTTTTGGAATTACTGCAACATTGGGAAATTAATGTTGATAAAGAAGTGATGCTATTCTCTTCATGTATATGAGAAAATCATTTTTGTATAATCTTTTTGTTTTATCTTTTTTCATAACTTAACGTATAATTTAAATGATTGATTTTTTTAATTCATATGAGACGTATAATATTAAATATATCTACTTATTTAATAACATATAAAAATTATATAAAATAATAATATAAAAAGATTATTCTTAAAACACTACACCACTACATGTATATATACCCCCAGCAAGTGGATTCTTGTTGGCTTAGTAGATAGGAAAGCTACTAATACGACATGGCTATAGTTAGTAACAATAGCGTTATAAATTATAATAATCACAAAAATTATAAAATATTATTTTA